AAACTACACAACAATGTAGCCTCTATAACATCACTCGGGAGTTTGTTCCACTCATCCACAACTCTATTACCAAACCAGTGCTTTCCTATATCCTTCCTGAATCTGAAGATGGACAGTATTGGGTTAGGTTACCATGGAAAATAAATCCACCACATCTACCTAGCAATTATCACATGGCTTTCGGACAAATGAAAGCACAAATACACGAGCTTAAGAAAAATCCAGAGCTACTGACTGTCTATGATAATATCAGTTGGACAATAACTATATTGAGGAAGTAGTCGAAGACAAGCTGAAGACAGAAGCTCATTATCTCCCGCACCATGGAGTCAGAAGGATTCTGAAACCACTCCACTACGTGTTGTATACAATTGCAGCGCACGTGCAAATAAAGATGTAGCAAGTTTTAATTGACTGTCTGATGACCGGACCCTCACTAACTGAGAAGCTTGGAGACGTGCTCATGAAATTTCACACAAATCTATATGCCTACACGGTTGATATTTCCTAGATATTTGCAAGAAATTAGAGATTATATTCGATTCTTGTGACCTGAAAATTCACATGATCCTCAAAGTCCTGTGAAAACATATCTTTTGAAATCAGTTTTGTTTGGTGCAACGTCCTCTCCATTCTTGCTAGAAGCTACTCTAAATACACTTTTGAAGAAATCTGAAAGTAACTTCAAAGAAATCTAAAATAAAAGTTTTTATGTGGACTATCTTTAAGGTACTGTGAATAAAGAGGAGGATTTAAAATCCTTTACAGAGAAGCTAACAAGGAAATGACATGCAAATATACCTCTAAGGATGTGGAAAGCTGATTCAACTCATTTAAGGGAACTTATCAAAGATTTCCCCGAAGCTGTAATTCCTGATTACAACAACATGCTTGGACTTAATTGGAACAAACAAGAAGACACTTTGAGCCTAAGAGGAATAAACAATAGCCAAGCAGTAGACTCACCAAGTGTAGTTTACTGTCAGAGGTATCACAATGTTTTGATCTTCAGGACTCGTCCCACCAGTCACCATAATATGTAAAAATGCTTGCGCAAGATGTATGGAAACTCAAAATGGGGTAGGATGAGAACTTACCTCTAGAAATGAGTCAGGCATTAATTAGGTATCCTCCTGGATACCTAATTAACACATCCTCCGGGGTACTTAAACACATCCTCTAGGGTACCTAATTAACACATCCTCTAGGGTACCTAATTAACACATCCTCTAGGGTACCTAATTAACACATCCTCCGGGGTACCTAATTAACACATTCTCAAGGGTACATAATTAACACATCCTCTAGGGTACCTAATTAACACATCCTAAAGGGTGCCTAATTAACACATCCTCTAGGGTACCTAATTAACACATTCTCTAGGGTACCTAATTAACGCATCCTCTAGGGTACCTAATTAATACATCCTCCAGGGTACATAATTAACACATCCCCTCTGGTATCTAATTAGCACATCCTCTAGGGTACCTAATTAACACATCCTCTAGGGTACGTAATTAACACATCCTCCGGGGTACCTAATTAACACATCCTCTAGGGTACCTAATTAACACATCCTCTAGGGTACGTAATTAACACATCCTCCGGGGTACCTAATTAACACATCCTCTAGGGTACCTAATTAACACATCCTCTAGGGTACCTAATTAACACATTCTCTAGGGAACCTAATCAACACATCCTCTAGCTAGCTAGGGTACCTAATTAATACATCCTCCAGGGTACATAATTAACGCATCCTCTAGGGTACCTAATTAACACATCCTCCAGGGTACGTAATTAACACATCCTCCGGGGTACCTAATAAACACTTTCTCTAGGGTACCTAATAAACACTTTCTCTAGGGTACCTAATTAACACATCCTAAGGGGTACCTAATTAACACATCCTCTAGGGTACCTAATTAACATATCCTCTAGGGTGCCTAATTAACATCCTCTAGGGTACCTAATTAACACATCCTAAGGGGTACCTAATTAACACATTCTCTAGGGTACCTAATTAACACATCCTCTAGGGTACCTAATTAACGCATCCTCTAGGGTACCTAATTAACACATCCTCCGGGGTATCTAATTAACACATCCTCTAGGGAACCTAATTAATACATCCTGTAGGGTATCTAATTAACACATCCTCTAGGGTACCTAATTAACACATACTTTAGGGTACCTAATTAACACATCCTCCGGGGTACCTAATTAACACATCCTCCGGGGTATCTAATTAACATATCCTCTAGGGTACCTAATTAATACATCCTCTAGGGTACCTAATTAACACATCCTCCGGGGTACCTAATTAACACATCCTCTAGGGTACCTAATTAACACATCCTCTAGAGTACCTAATTAACACATACTTTAGGGTAACTAATTAACACATCCTCCGAAGTACCTAATTAACACATCCTGCAGAGTACCTAATTAACACATCCTCCGGGGTACCTAATTAACACATCCTCTTGGGTACCTAATTAACACATCCTCTACGGTACCTAATTAACACATCCTCTAGGGTACCTAATTAACACATAATCTAGGGTACCTAATTAACACATCCTCCGGGGAACCTAATTAACACATTTTCTAGGGTACCTAATTAACATATCGTCTAGGGTACCTAATTAACACATCGTCTAGGGTACCTAAATAACAAATCTTCTATGGTACCTAATTAACACATCCTCTGGGGTACCTAATTAACACATCCTCTAGGGTACCTAATTAACACATCCTCTAGGGTACCTAATTAACACATCCTGTAGAGTACCTAATTAACACATCCTCTAGGGTACCTAATTAACATCCTCTAGAGTACCTAATTAACAGATCCTCTAGGGTACCTAATTAATACATCCTGAGTAACTAATTAACACATCCTCTAGGGTACCTAATTAACACATCCTCTAGGGTACCTAACACATCCTCTAGGGTACCTAATTAACACATCCTCCGGGGTACCTGATTAACACATCCTCTAGGGTACCTAATTAACATATCCTCCGGGGCATCTAATTAACACACATTCTAGGGTACCTAATTAACACATCCTCTAGGGTACCTAATTAACCCATCCTCCACGGTACCTAATTAACACATCCTCTAGGGTACCTAATTAACACATCCTCTAGGGTACCTAATTAACACATACTTTAAGGTGCCTAATTAACACATCCTCCGGGGTACCTAATTAACACATCCTCTATGGTACCTAATTTACACATCCTCTAGGGTTCCTAATTAACACATCCTCTAGGGTATCTAATTAACACATCCTCTAGGGTACCTAATTAACACATCCTCTTGGGTACCTAATTAACACATCCTCTAGGGTACATAATTAACACATCGTATAGTGTACCTAATTAACACATACTTTATGGTACCTAATTAACACATCCTCTAGGTTACCTAATTAACACATCCTCTAGGGTACCTAATTAACACATCCTCTAGGGTACCTAATTAACACATACTCTAGGGGACATAACACATCCTCCGGGGTACCTAATTAACACATTTTCTAGGGTGCCTAATTAACACATCCTCTAGGGTACCTAATTAACACATCCTCTAGGGTACCTAATTAACACATCCTCTATGGTAAGTAATTAACACATCCTCCGGGGTACCTAATTAACACATCCTCTAGGGTACCTAATTAACATATCCTCTAGGGTACCTAACTAACACATCCTCCGGGGTACCTAAGTAACACATCCTCTAGGGTACCTAATTAACACATCCTCCGGGGTACCTAAGTAACACATCCTCTAGGGTACCTAATTAACACATAATTTAGGGTACCTAATTAACACATCCTCCGGGGTACCTAATTAACACATCCTCTGGGGTACCTAATTAACACATCCTCTAGGTTACCTTATTAACACATCCTCCGGGGTACCTAATTAACACATCCTCAATTGAAGGATAAATTACTCTTTTTTTTTTATTCACTAGCCATTTTGATTTTGATTTACCTATAGTAAATTAAGATTTGTAGTGACAGTGTTGTAAAGCTATCTCACCCAGTGATAGTGTTAGGCTGTTTCTTTTTCACTTCTTAAAGCCGAGTGTAAAGTTTTTTTTCACTTCTTAACGCCGAGTGTAATTTTTTTTTCCTTCTTAAAGCCGAGTGTAACGTTTTTTTTTCACTTCTTAAAGCCGAGTGTAATTTTTTTTGCTTCTTAAAGCCGAGTGTAACGTTTTTTTTCACTTCTTAACGCCGAGTGTAATTTTTTTTTCCTTCTTAAAGCCGAGTGTAACGTTTTTTTTCACTTCTTAAAGCCGAGTGTAATTTTTTTTTGCTTCTTAAAGCCGAGTGTAACGTTTTTTTTCACTTCTTAACGCCGAGTGTAATTTTTTTTTTCCTTCTTAAAGCCGAGTGTAACGTTTTTTTAACTTCTTAAAGCCGAGTATAAAACTTAATTCACTAATTTATTTGAGAAACAGCAAATTCATTTTTATTACAATAAAAGTTCACATTTTATAGAAAATCATATTTTTCTGATCACAGAATTGAGTTTAAGCATAAAAAGTGAAAATATTTCTAGTTGTATATTATTAAATCAAGTTAAAAGGTTTCTCTGAGTCCTTTTACAAAATATAACCCTCCTCACACTCCAACAGCTCATTAAATCCAAAAAAAGCATTCGTATCCACTCAAAATATAACCCTCCTCACACTCCAACAGCTCATTAAATCCAAAAAAAGCATTCGTATCCACTCAAAATATAACCCTCCTCACACTCCAACAGCTCATTAAATCCAAAAAAATCATTCGTATCCACTCACTCCAACCGAACACGCTCACCCATGCCTCCGGTACGTCCAAGCCCACTGCTCACAAAACCTTTACCCCTCCCTCCCTCCATCCATACATATACTTTGTAAATTAGAGAAACAGACTTCTCTCTAAGCATTATATTTAAAATTTATGCAGCACCTGATTGGTGAAGATGTATTGTAATACGAGCATTAACTCTCCTTTTGCAGATGAATACACGAAGCAACAAGGAAGAACTCGGCCGTAATTGGCTTAAGGAGGTAATCAAGCCTGGTCTACAGGCATCACAGGTAATAGGAATCTACAATGATGCCTCCAAAATTTATGATCAGGTGAGTGAGTAGTAAAGAGTACACATATGCAAACATTATCTCTCAGTCCATAGCAGGATTCAAACCTGTAAACTCGGCATCAGAGTATACACTACTTTGTCCACAAGCTAGACGGTTACTTCTCCATACCCAGGAGCATCAGGTTTGTACAGGGTTATCTCATCAAATCCTACCAATTGCTAAATGTTAATCATTTCAAAATCTCTCTCATAGTTCACTGCATGTGGCAGGATTTGATGAAAAAACTTTGTACAAGCCAAGTGCCCCTGGGTATGGTGCCTGTTACGGCCCCCTGCCAAACTAGCGGTTAAATAGTTAACCTGCCGGCCGGCAGTACCAATGGGTACGTCATCAAACCCATTGTGGGGACTGCTGAGCCGGCCTTAAAGCATTAAGTACCTGAACTCCTCAGGGTACGCATTTAAGCAGTAGGCACCTGGACACCTAATAGTACACATCTACTGGCTTTAGAAACAGTATGTAACTGAGCACCTCACGGTACGCATCTACGCAGTAGGTACCTGAACACCTAATCGTACACATCTACTGGCGTTAGAAGAACCGCTCACCGCAGCTCACTGAGTCTGTTGGCCTCAGTTACTTGACGGCCGCATTCAGTGAGCTTGCAGCATGGTGTTCGGCTAGCGGTGTGTCAACCGGCTTTGGAGAGGATTTACTGGACTACCGGTGATGTCTGCGGACTCACCGCCTACGCTTGTCAACTGTGGGCCGGAGTCATCTGATGCTGTTTAGTGGGACATTACATGAAGAAAAGGTTGGAGTGTTACACTAAACTGGGCTAGGACCGTAGTGTGACACTTAGGGACGTATGATGGAGTGGAACACTGAGATATGCTACAGGACCGTAGTGGAACACTGAGAAGAAAAGGGTGTCGTGTGACACTGAAGATGGCCTGGTTGTAGTGTACATTGAATAGTGTCATGTGACTGGCCGCGACAAAGACGCTATGCGGGTAGTGTGACGCAAGGACAAGGGTGTCAAGTGTGACACGGTTGGGAAAGTGTGTGTATTACACGGAGAAAAGTATGTCAAGTGACAGTGGAGAAAGAGCGTCACAACTCGGATAAGTGTCGTGAGAAACGCAGTTGATTGTAATTTATTATTTTAGCAAAGATATATATAGTGACACAAGAGTGTCAAGAGTTGTACCCTGTGTAGGGTTACGAATTATTTATTTTAGTTAGATGCTAATTATAATTTATTGTAACATGTATATATCAGATGTTAGTTCAAATACCTATAGACATAGTATGTGTATATATATATATATATATATATATATATATATATATATATATATATATATATAATAAAATAGGGAAGTACTACCTCTAGAACTGTCCTGGGGACCCTCATCCTCAGAAAAAAGAATAAACTTGCTTCAGGGAAAACTCAAGGTTCTCCCTGAAGCTGTTTGATAATTTTCTCCTACCACCCCCTATATTTGATATATATTTCATTTAAAACGCAAAATACATTGACAAAACATTCACAAAAATACAATAGAAAGTAAAACATAGATAACACACACATGTATATATGATTATATATATATATATATATATATATATATATATATATATATATATATATATATATATACACACACACATATGTGTGTTTGTGTATATTTCGCCTGCTCTTGCGAATTCCTTGCATTGTTAATATCTCTAGTAAGGCTGATGCATGCAGGAGATGAGATGAAAAGCTGTAAACCTTCTCCCTGAAACCTGGCTGCCTTGGATCAAAGCCTAGCGCAAGCTGGACTCAAACGTATGGGTCCAGTGTGGGTAGATTGGTAAAGCACTGCGTACCTTGTTCCAAGGTTCGTAGGTTCGAGTCTCCTTCAGCCAGAGATCAGTGTTTGTATATATTTCGCCTGCTCTTGCGAATTCCTTTATATATATATATATATTATAAATTATTTAACACATCCGCTATATATTCTACATATGCTTTATTTAAAAAAAAGATACATTGACAAAATACATTGACAAAAAATACAATATGGAATAAAACAACATAGATAACTCAGAGCTACATCTCGAATACTTCGCCCAGCTCCCCGGCAGTGGGCCGCGTGCCCAGAATGCTGCAGGCATTTTCCCTCTGGGTCGCGACACTGAGTCTCTGAAAGAGGAAGCTGGTCGCCCTGTGGTCATTGGTTTCTATGATGAGCTTTTCACCCAGCTCTTTGAGGAACTTTAGAGCACACTTGCTCCAAGTGTGTCTGACGCTATTGGGATGAAGTTATAGCAAGGGGGAAGGTGTTCTGGGCCTCCCTGTTCCTGGCAGCTCCACCCTCTTCAACTACGGAGTATGGCAAGTAGGTGACTGCCAAAGTGGCGGCGTAGGTGTAGTCCCAGGCAATCCGCTTTGCATCCTTCCAAGGTAGCATAGTGGCTCCATCAGGACGCTTTTGACGTCCGTCAGACCTCTGCACTTTGGGTTCACGTTGAGCTGGGCAACGGGCGTGGCGAGGCTTCTCTTTATGATGTCATTGACCTCCTCATGTCTGGCATACTTCCCTTCTGATGTGTGACACACGAGACCATGAAGTCCGAATTGATCAGCTGTCGCCCTGCCGCAAATACACCAATGTTCGGTGAGGATGGGGGCGGCTAGGCGAAGAGCAACACCAATCCGAATGGCCTGTGGGTCGAGACGGGTGCCCAGGGAGGAACTGGGAACAGCTAACAGGAAATCTCCCGAGTGTTGTGCCTTCACAGCCAGGAGATGAGCTTCGTCCTTTGCAATATCTCTCTCTCTCTCTCTCTCTCTCTCTCTCTCTCTCTCTCTCTCTCTCTCTCTCTCTCTCTCATATATATATATATATTTATATATTATATATATATATGAGATAATGTATTGTGAGGTAATAGGAAATATTCTCCTCGCGTTGCCTTACCTTTGTTAATGCTGAAATTTTTGAAATCAATAGTTTAATAATTGCTGTAAAATATTTGGTGAATATATTAACATGTATAATCTGTTACATGTTTTCTCCTATATTCTTCCAGTATACTGTTGATTGTAAATACCAAGGGCCGACCATTATGGCAGAGGAGGTCGCTCGACTGGTCGCAGAGGAGCTAAGGCATGAGGTTAGAGTTCTGGACGTTGGCGCTGGTACTGGGTTGTTGGGACGCGAGCTCCACAAGTTAGGCTTTTCGTGAGTATAAGTTATTATTTTTCCAAACATCTATGTGTATAGTGTGTGTAACTTGGTCACACAGTACATGAACAATCACTGTGTATAGTGTGCATATCTTGGTCACAGTACAAGAGTCTTTGCTCAACACAAACAATCAAGCTAGATCTATCGAAATGTTATACAGAATTTAATAAGAAATATCTCTCTGCACTGTTCCTAGACTGGCATAAAAATGAGGTAAAATAAGATTTCGTTCGGATTTTTAATCCTGGAGGGTTAACAACCCAGGATAACCCAAGAAAGTCAGTGGGTCATCGAGGACTGTCTGTCTTATTACCATAGTGGTCCTCAATCTTGTCCCCCAGGATGTCACCCACACCAGTTGACTAACACCCAGGTACCTACTTGCTGCTAGGTGAAAAGGACAACAGGTGTAAGGAAACGCTTCAAAATGTTTCTACCCCGCGCGGGAATCGAACCCAGACTCTCCGTGTGTGAAGCAAGAACTTTACCAGCCAGGCCACGGCTTAAGAAACCATTCTTTCTAACCTATTATATTTTCCAGCAATAACTCTGAAGCTTGCAATTAACACATCTAAAAACATTATTACACTACTTTCTACCTGTCATAATTATCTCTAAGAAGTAGGTACTCTCTCATACACATAAAACTTAGCATTTCCATCATTAGTGAGAAACATAAATGGGCTGCTGTTTGTTACCTTTCAAAATGTCCCCTAATCTTTTAAATCCCCCATCCCTTACTCCCTCTATCTCTGTTCCCAAATGTCCCATCGCTATATCTAACCCACTGTGTATAACGTCCACCTCTACAATGTTTGTAAATAGTTAAAATTGGTTCATAGTTCAGGTATAAGACGTTTATAACAGAGAAACTTTCCTTACAATGCAATAAAAGCAAGACAGAGTAAATGCAGTAAACCAAGGTATTATCAAGTGATAAACCAGGGTATTATCAAGTGATAAACCAGGGTATTATCAAGTGATAAACCAGGGTATTATCAAGTGATAAACCAGGGTATTATCAAGTGATAAACCAGGGTATTATCAAGTGATAAACCAGGGTATTATCAAGTGATAAACCAGGGTATTATCAAGTGATAAACCAGGGTATTATCAAGTGATAAACCAGGGTATTATCAAGTGATAAACCAGTGTATTATCAAGTGATAAACCAGGGTATTATCAAGTGATAAACCAGGGTATTATCAAGTGATAAACCAGGGTATTATCAAGTGATACACCAGGGTATTATCAAGTGATACACCAGGGTATTATCAAGTGATACACCAGGGTTATATCAAGTGATACACCAGGTATTATCAAGTGATACACCAGGGTAATTATCAAGTGATACACCAGGGTATATCAAGTGATACACCAGGGTATTATCAAGTGATACACCAGGGTATTATCAAGTGATACACCAGGGTATTTATCAAGTGATACACCAGGGTATTATCAAGTGATACATAGGGTATTATCAAGTGATACACCAGGGTATTATCAAGTGATACACCAGGGTATTATCAAGTGATACACCAGGGTATTATCAAGTGATACACCAGGGTATTATCAAGTGATACACCAGGGTATTATCAAGTGATACACCAGGGTATTATCAAGTGATACACCAGGGTATTATCAAGTGATACACCAGGGTATTATCAAGTGAAACACCAGGGTATTATCAAGTGATACAAACCCGGGTATTATCAAGTGATACACCAGGGTATTATCAAGTGATACACCAAGGGGATTATCAAGTGATACACCAGGGTATTATCAAGTGATACACCAGGGTATTATCAAGTGATACACCAGGGTATTATCAAGTGATACACCAGGGTATTATCAAGTGATACACAGGGTATTATCAAGTGATAAACCAGGGTATTATCAAGTGATAAACCAGGGTATTATCAAGTGATAAACCAGGGTATTATCAAGTGATAAACCAGGGTATTATCAAGTGATAAACCAGGGTATTATCAAGTGATAAACCAGGGTATTAAGTGATAAACCAGGGTATTAAGTGATAAACCAGGGTATTATCAAGTGATAAACCAGGGTATTATCAAGTGATAAACCAGGGTATTATCAAGTGATAAACCAGGGTATTATCAAGTGATAAACCAGGGTATTATCAAGTGATAAACCAGGGTATTATCAAGTGATAAACCAGGGTATTATTCAAGTGATAAACCAGGGTAATATCAAGTGAAAACCAGGGTATTATCAAGTGATAAAAAGGTATTATCAAGTGATAAACCGGGTATTATCAAGTGATAAACCCGGGTATTAAACAAGTGATAAACCAGGGTATTATCAAGTGATAAAACCGGGTATTATCAAGTGATAAACCAGGGTATTATCAAGTGATAAACCAGGGTATTATCAAGTGATAAACCAGGGTATTATCAAGTTTATAAACCAGGGTATTATCAAGTGATAAACCAGGGTATTATCAAGTGATAAACCAGGGGATTATCAAGTGATAAACCAGGGTATTATCAAGTGATAAAAACAGGGTATTATCAAGTGATAAACCAGGGTATTATCAAGTGATAAACCAGGGTATTATCAAGTGATAAACCAGGGTATTATCAAGTGATAAAAACCCGGGTATTATCAAGTGATAAACCAGGGTATTATCAAGTGATAAACCAGGGTATTATCAAGTGATAAACCAGGGTATTTTTCAAGTGATAAACCAGGGTATTATCAAGTGATAAACCCAGGGTATTATCAAGTGATAAACCAGGTATTATCAAGTGATAAACCAGGGTATTATCAAGTTTATAAACCAGGGTATTATCAAGTGATAAACCAGGTATTATCAAGTGATAAACCAGGGTATTATCAAGTGATAAACCAGGGTATTATCAAGTGATAAACCAGGGTATTATCAAGTGATAAACCAGGGTATTATCAAGTGATAAACCAGGGTATTATCAAGTGATAAACCAGGGTATTATCAAGTGAAAACCAGGGTATTATCAAGTGATAAACCAGGGTATTATCAAGTGATAAACCAGGGTATTATCAAGTGATAACGGGTATTTATCAAGTGATAAACCAGGGTATTATCAAGTGATAAACCAGGTATTATCAAGTGATAAACCAGGTATTATCAAGTGATAAACCAGGGTATTATCAAGTGATAAACCAGGGTATATCAAGTGATAAACCAGGGTATTATCAAGTGATAAACCAGGGTATTATCAAGTGATAAACCAGGGTATTATCAAGTGATAAACCAGGGTATTATCAAGTGATAAACCAGGGTATTATCAAGTGATAAACCAGGGTATTATCAAGTGATAAACCAGGGTATTATCAAGTGATAAACCAGGGTATTATCAAGTGATAAACCAGGGTATTATCAAGTGATAAACCAGGGCTATATCAAGTGATAAACCAGGGTATTATCAAGTGATAAACCAGGGTATTATCAAGTGATAAACCAGGGTATTATCAAGTGATAAACCAGGGTATTATCAAGCAATAAAATATAATCGAGACTGTAACTAAGATTATTTTTTCAACATAATGAAGGCAATATATATATATATATACCTTGACTGGAGAAGTGGGTTTAACACAGAAAAATGATTGTCTTAGCCAAAGAGTTATTCTTATCAGAGGAACAGGATAACATCACCTTCTATCAATAGACTGTGTATGATAGAAAAAAATCTATTAGTTCATAATAGACTGGGCAAGTGATCAATGGATATATAGAAAGTTGGTCATGAATATCAGTTTTTATATTATTTTTTTATTATGGAGAGCGCTAAACCCGTAGGATTATACAGCGCATGTGGGGGGGGGATGGAAGGTATTCAGGCTCAATTCCGGAAACTGGAGCACAGATCCAATTCCCTAGATCAAGAGCCCCTCACCAGCGTCAAGGAACCTTCCTTGAGGAGGAATATCAGATAAACTTCCAGTCAGGTTTAATCTTCAAGAATATAGAAATTTTTTGACGAATACCTGGAGACTTCGAGGGGAGGGGGGGGCGTTCGAGGGGTAAACGCCCCCGCGCCTCGGTCTGAGACCAGGCCTCGTGGTAGGTCTAATAGCATCATCAAAAGTTTGAGAATGGAAATTACCTTTGAAGGGAAAATTGGTTTTAGTCCCTGGACTTGCTCTCCTCTTCCTTGGATCAGACCTGAATGGCTCCCATTCTCACAGGTGCTGTACGAGGAAAAGAGAAGAAATTAAAAATTAGACATAAAATAAAGAGAGAATTAGTGAAGCTACAAGAAGAATGAGAATAAAAAGATAACATAGTATCAGATCCCTTAAAAGTAGAATCAGATCCCTTAAAAGTAAAATCAGATTCCTTAAAAATAGGATCAGTTCCCTTTAAAATACAATCAGATCCCTTAAAAGTAGACTCAGATCCCTTAGAAGTAAAATCAGATCCCTTAAAAGCAGAATCAGATCCCTTAAAAATAGAATCAGAGCCCTTTAAAATAGAATCAGATCCCTTAAAAGTAGAATCAGATCCCTTAAAAATAGGATCAGATCCCTTTAAAATACAATCAGATCCCTTAAAAGTAGACTCAGATCCCTTAGAAGTAAAATCAGATCCCTTAAAAGCAGAATCAGATCCCTTAAAAATAGAATCAGAGCCCTTTAAAATAGAATCAGATCCCTTAAAAGTAGTATCAGATCCCTTGAAAGAAGAGAATAAGATCCCTTGTGTCGAATTAGCCAAATTGGCAAAATAAAAAATTAATGTTAATTAATAACTCTGTGGCAGAATTACATCTTTTTCAAAATAACTATTGATGCCATTAAACATAAAACCATTCGAGAATAATCAATTTTATTCATATAGAGTAAGTCAATTAACAGAGCCTAAAGAACAATTTAATCAATTCATCAATTTTAATGAGGTTTATGTCATAATCGATTAAAACCAGATTTCCAAAATTTTGTACATTATTGATAATAGGCACTTGGAAAATCCTAGAGGGACTAGTCCCAAATCTGTACACAGAAATCACTCCCTAGGAAGTGCAAAATCTGACAGATGAAATGCAGGGGCTCTATGAGTACCTTAAGAGACGACACCGTAAATGTCAGGGGCGGAAGATTGTTCAGCATACATAAGGGGGATTACCAATAGACCCCTGGCTGTCTTCAAGAGGGAGCTGGACAGGCATCTAAAGCCAGTAACCAACCAGCCGGGCTGTGGTTCGTTCTTCGGTTTGCCTGCAGCCAGCAGTAACAGCCTGGTTGTTCGGGCCCTGATCCACCACGAGGCCTGGTCATGGACCGGGCCGCGGGGGCGTTGACCCCCGCGAAGTATCGTCTGGAAAGAATTTAGCATATGCACTGCACATCCATCTAACATAATTATATGATATATGTGGCAATAATCAGTATTTCCGAAGGCATAAATAACAATATGAGATTTTTTTTTCGACTAATTATTTTAATTATTTTAATGTCTATTACCTTTACGTACATAATAAAATTCTTTCCCAGTATCAATTCCCAAAATTTGATTTAAATCTGCTACATTCAGTTTAATGAATATTGCAAAGATCTCACCAAACTAGAGAATTACCTTATTTTCCGGCATATAAGACGCGCTTTTTTTCCTACAAAAAGAACCGTAAAATCAACCTGCGCCTTATATGCTCAAGGTCAGGGTTAAAAGTAAGCTTTACCTTACAATTTAACGCTTACCAACGTTACGTTACAGCTGTCTAGAAACATCGTCTCACAAGCCTTACAGCCTCGTGCGCCTTATATAACAAAATACGGCAACACATATTTATTCTAAAATGTATTTCTGTTCTTCATTAAAGTGGACGATTTTGAAGATTACTCAAAATATTGCCACAGGAATATCGATGCTCTGGAGCCCTCAGAAGGAATGATGAATATTCTTAAGAACACAGGACACTACCGAGTCAAGTATCAAGAGTTGATGGTCGTCGGACAACACACAGTTCCTCAGGGTAATAACATGTGTTCAAGAATGATCTGCCTAGAACAAGCCAGTAGGCGTATTTTCTTGTTCCTCTGTTTCTATATTAAATATTTCTTATATTTAAAGGAATCTGCTTGTATGTTACAGAGATTTGTCCAATAAGATATATTGAAACTACTACATAAATCAATCAACGTATATATATATATATATATATATATATATATATATATATATATATATATATATATATATATAGATGGGGTCCACCTCTGGTGTAAATTGTGGGACCCATAGCCTCGGAGAAGTGGATAAAAGGCTTCAAGGAAGAATATTTGGATTTCTTCCTGAAGCCATTTGAATATTCCACTTCCCCTACCACCCCATCTTTTAAACTATTTTTTTTTTACCAATAGGAATATTTTATTACATAATATATATATATATATATATATATATATATATATATATATAATATATATATATATATATATATATATATATATATATATATATGGTGCCTAATATGTCCGTTAAAAGATATTTTTAATTTATGTTGATATAAAAATTAATGATTTTGTACCAAAACAACCTTAGAAAACTTACCTGACCTCGTTATAATAAGCGCAATTTAATTTAACCTAGTCCATCTAAATATATTTTATATTGGTGTACAATAATTTAATAAACACAATGAAATAAATTTTTCTCGTTAGCTTCAGAATGATTTTTGCGAAATTACTGCATGCATTAATTTTCGCTTGCCCTATTCAGCAAGAAGTGCGTTGCTATTCAAGTGAAAAAAAGGCAAGTTTCACGTATTCGGCACGACATATATATACATATATATGCTTTGTTGACAGATACGTACGATTTGCTGGTGATGTGTGGATCGATGGCTCCGGGTCACATTCCAGCTCAATGTGTGGAAGATTTTATCCGTGTTACAAAGCCAGGTGAGTCCCTCTGTATTGTCCCTAATTACCATAACAGGTAGAATAATACTTTTTCTCACCCAAATGAGAAATAATAAATTAAAGAGTCACATTTGCAGTATACGGAACATTTCTTGACACCGCTCAGCTTAGTGGGTTTATCATGCCACAAGCGATGAGCTTAGTAAAGTAGAGTAAGGAAATGAATGATAGTGAGAATCATTGACTATACGAGTATGTGCGATGTACGACAGGTCACGATGGCTCACGAAATCGTAATGACACGATTGCAAACAAATTATACAACGGGCAGGGTTAGAACCCGCAATCAGAGAGTCAGAAACTCCAGACCGACGTGTTAACCACTGGGCCAGCTAGCTACAATAAGATTCATCCAACTAGGTGTATTTATACACCATAGAAAGGTTAACATAGGCACCACTGTGACCACAAATGCTAGCTGGTCCAGTGGCTAACGCATCGGTATGGAGTTTTGGGACTCTCTGATCGCGGGTTCTAACCCCGCTCGTGGTAAGGTCGGGACTCGACGATTCACATACTATCTAAAAGTTTTGTAACAAGTTCGGTTTTATTATAGACATCATTATTTTTGGCTAAAGTTGTTGAAAATACTGATGTTTACTGATTCATCGTCTCCTCTACTCTGGGTGTCGTACTCTCTTCTCTGGGTATCGTACTCTCTTCTTTGGGTGTCGTACTCTTTGGCAGTATGTAGTACACCTTAGTACTTCATTTCCTGGGTATATGCAATAATCGGAAATAGGCGGTACGAGATGCAAAGCAGTGGGGAAGTTGAATGATAGCTCTACGACTTTCGTGTTGGAATAAACACATCAGGAGCATTGCCAGCTTCTGTTGATGTGTTGATTGCAATACGAAAGGCCCAGAGCTATAATTCAACCCTGTGGTTATTTTACTCTCACACACATAACCACAAATAGGTGAGTGCAAATAGGTGAGTGCACACACACACACAAACACACAAAATCACCCAAAATCACCCAAAATCACCCAAAATCACACACCCAAGTGCAACAGAAACAATGGGAAGACCAGAACGAGCCCCTGGTTTACCCGACGGTGTAAGGAGGCAAAAACAAAGTGCAATAGAGAATGGAAAAAGTACAGAAGGCAGAGAACACATGAAAATAGGGAGATCAGTCGCAGAGCCAGGAACGAGTATGCACAGGCAAGGAGGGAGGCCCAACGACAGTATGAAAATAACATGGCATCGAAAATCAAGACTGACCCGAAACTGTTGTATAGCCACGTCAGGAGGAAGACAACAGTCAAAGACCAGGTGATCAGATTGAGGACAGAAGGTGGAGAACTCACAAGAAATGATAGGGAGGTATGTTAGGAGCTAAACAGGAGATTTAAGGAAGTTTTTACAGTAGAGACAGGAAGGGCTTTGGGAAGACAGCACAGAAGGGAACATCAAGAGGGAATATACCAACAAGAGTTGGATGACATACGAACAACCGAGGAGGAGGTGCAGAAGCTGCTAAGTGACCTTGATACCTCAAAGGCGATGGGACCGGACAACATCTCCCCATGGGTCCTTAGAGAAGAAGCAGAGATGCTGTGCGTGCCCCTAACCACAATCTTCAACACATCCCTTGACTATGGAACAATACTCTTCTCCAGACTGAGAGACTGACCACCTCAAAACTTCAAGGGTGATGGACTGATTACATCGTCTTCAAGTATCCTCTGCTTCTATCAACTTTTCTGTACTCGACTGAAGAAGCCTACTGTGTAGGCGAAACGTTTCGGAATAAAGATACCTAACTGTTGCATATGTGTCTTACCTAACAACCTGTCGGTATTTTATACTATTTTAATGTTCACATCCCTTGAAACTGGGCAACTACCTGGGAAATGGAAAACAGCAAATGTAGTCAGCATATTTAAAAAAGGAAACGGAAATGAGGCACTAAACTACAGACCTTTGTGTCTGACATGTATTGTGTGCAAAGTCATGGAGAAGATTATCAGGAGGAGAGTGGTGGAACACCTGGAACGGAACAAGATTATAAATGAAAACCAGTATGGGTTCATGGAAGGCAAATCCTGTGTTACAAACCTTCTGGAGTTTTATGACAAGGTAACAGAAGACATGAGAGAGAGGGGTGGGTTGATTGCGTTTTCCTAGACTGCAGGAAGGCCTTTGACACAGTTCCCCACAAGATATTAGTGCAGAAGCTGGAGGATCAGGCACATATAACAGGGAGGGCACTGCAATGGATCAGGGAATACCTGACAGGGAGGCAACAACGAGTCATGGTACGTGAAGAGGCATCACAGTGGGCGCCTGTGACGAGCAGGGTCCTGCAGGGGTCAGTTCTAGGACCAGTGCTATTTTTGATATATGCAAACGACATGATGGAAGGAATAGACTCTGAAGTGTCCCTATTCGCAGATGATGTGAAGCTGATGAGAAGAATTAAATCGGATGAGGATGAGGCAGGACTGCAAAGAGACCTGGACAGACTGGATATGTGGTCCAGAAACTGGCTTCTCGAATTCAACCCTGCAAAATGCAAAGTCATGAAGATTGGGGAGGTGCAAAGAAGACCGCAGACAGAGTATAGGCTAGGTGGACAAAGACTACAGACCTTACTCAGGGAGAAAGACCTTGAGGTGACCATAACACCGAGCACATCACCGGAGGCACACATCAACCAAATATCTGCTGCAGCATACGGGCGCCTGGCAAACCTGAGAATAGCGTTCCGATACCTTAATAAGGAATCGTTCAAGACACTGTACACTGTGTATATTAGGCCCATACTGGAGTATGCAGCACCAGTCTGGAACCCACACCTGGTCAAGCACGTCAAGAAGTTAGAGAAAGTACAAAGGTTTGCAACAAGGCTAGTCCCCGAGCTCAGGGGAATGTCGTACGAGGAAAGGTTGAGGGAAATCGGACTGACGACACTGGAGGACAGAAGGGTCAGGGGAGACATGATAACGACATACAAGATACTGCGGGGAATAGACAAGGTGGATAGAGATAGGATGTTCCAGAGAGAGGACACAGAAACAACTGGAAGCTGAAGACTCAGACGAGTCACAGGGACGTTAGGAAGTATTTCTTCAGTCATAGAGTTGTCAGGAAGTGGAATAGCCTAGCAAGTGAAGTAGTGGAGGCAGGAACCATACATAGTTTTAAGAAGAAGTATGACAAAGCTCAGGAAGCACAGAGGGAGAGGACCTAGTAGCGATCAGTGAAGAGGCGGGGCCAGGAGCTGAGTCTCGACCTCTGCAACCACAATTAGGTGAGTACAATTAGGTGAGTACAATTAGGTGAGTACACACACACACACACACACACAACGATCTAGTAAGTATTTGTTTAGTCAGAGTTGTGAGGAAGTGGAATAGTCTGGCAAGTGACGTAATGGAGGTAGGAACTATACATAGTTTTAAGACGAGGTATGATAAAGCTTATGGAGAGAGGATAGAGAGGACTTAGTAGCGATCAGTGAAGAAGCAGGGACAGGAGCTATGACTCGATCCCTGCAACCCCAAAGAGGTGAGTACACACACACATATATAATTTTTTTTTTCTTCTTCAACAAGTCGGCCGTCTCCCACCGAGGCAGGGTAACCCAAAAAAGAAAGAAAATCCCCAAAAAGAAAATACTTTCATCATTCAACACTCACCACACTCACACATTATCACTGTTTTTGCAGAGGTGCTCAGAATACAACAGTTTAGAAGCATATACGTATAAAGATACACAACATATCCCTCCAAACTGCCAAATCCCAAACCCCTCCTTTAGAGTGCAGGCATTGTACTTCCCATTTCCAGGACTCAAGTCCGACTATATGAAAATAACCGGTTTCTCTGAATCCCTTCACTAAATATTACCCTGCTCACACTCCAACAGATCGTCAGGTCCCAAGTATCATTCGTCTCCATTCACTCCTATCTAACACGCTCATGCACGCTTGCTGGAAGTCCAAGCCCCTCGCCCACAAAACCTCCTTTACCCCCTCTTTCCAACCCTTTCGAGGACGACCCCTACCCCTCCTTCCTTCCCCTATAGATTTATATGCTTTCTATGTCATTCTACTTTGATCCATTCTCTCTAAATGACCAAACCACCTCAACAACCCCTCTTCTGCCCTCTGACTAATGCTTTTATTAACTCCACACCTTCTCCTAATTTCCACACTCCGAATTTTCTGCATAATATTTACACCACACATTGCCCTTAGACAGGACATCTCCACTGCCTCCAACCGTCTCCTCGCTGCTGCATTTACCACCCAAGCTTCACATCCATATAAGAGTGTTAGTACTACTATACTTTCATACATTCCCTTCTTTGCCTCCATAGATAACGTTTTTTGACTCCACATATACCTCAACGCACCACTCACCTTTTTTCCCTTATCAATTCTATGATTAACCTCATCCTTCATAAATCCATCCGCCGACACGTCAACTCCCAAGTATCTGAAAACATTCACTTCTTCCATACTCCTCCTCCCCAATTTGATATCCAATTTTTCTTTATCTAAATCATTTGATACCCTCATCACCTTACTCTTTTTTATGTTCACTTTCAACTTTCTACCTTTACACACATTCTCAAACTCATCCACTAACCTTTGCAATTTTTCTTTAGAATCTCCCATAAGAACAGTATCATCAGCAAAAAGTAACTGTGTCAATTCCCATTTTGAATTTGATTTCCCATAATTTAACCCCACCCCTCTTCCGAACACCCTAGCATTTACTTCTTTTACAACCCCATCTATAAATATATTAAACAACCATGGTGACATTACACATCCCTGTCTAAGACCTACTTTTACCGGGAATATTTTCCCTCTCTTCCAAACACCCTAACCTGAGCCTCACTATCCTCATAAAAACTCTTAACAGCATTTAGTAACTTACCACCTATTCCATATACTTGCAACATCTGCCACATTGCTCCTCTATCCACTATCATATGCCTTTTCTAAATCCATAAATGCAATAAAAACTTCCATACCTTTATCTAAATACTGTTCACATATATGCTTCAATGTAAACACTTGATCTACACATCCCCTACCCACTCTGAAGCCTCCTTGCTCATCCGCAATCCTACATTCTGTCTTACCTCTAATTCTTTCAATTATAACCCTACCGTAAACTTTTCCTGGTATACTCAGTAAACTTATTCCTCTAATTTTTACAGTCTCTTTTGTCCTCCTTCCCTTTATATAAAGGGACTATACATGCTCTCCGCCAATCCCTAGGTACCTTCCCCTCTTCCATACATATATTAAACAAAAGTACCAACCACTCCAACACTATATCCCCCCTGCTTTTAACATTTCTGTCATGATCCCATCAGTTCCAGCTGCTTTACCCCCTTTCATTCTACGTAATGCCTCACGTACCTCCACCACACTTACATTCTGCTCTTCTTCACTCCTAAAAGATGGTATACCTCCCTGACAAGTGCATGAAATTACCGCCTCCCTTTCTTCCTCAACATTTAAAAGTTCCTCAAAATATTCTCGCCATCTACCTAACACCCCTCTCCCCATCTACTAACTTCCCTACTCTGTTTTATAACGGACAAATCCATACTTTCCCTAGGCTTTCTTAACTTGTTTAACTCACTCCAAAATTTTTTCTTATTTTCATTAAAATTTCTTGACAGTGCCTCTCCCACTCTTCATCTGCTCTCCTTTTGCACTCTCTCACTACTCTCTTGACCTTTCTTTTACTCTCCATATACTCAGCTCTTCTTATAACACTTCTGCTTTGTAAACACACACACACACACACACACACACACACACACACACACACACACACACACACACACACACACACACACACACACACACACACACACACAACAATATATATATATATATATATATATATATATATATATATATATATATATATATATACATATACATATGTCGTGCCGAATAGGTAAAACTGAAAATTGGTGAATTAGCAAGAACTCATTTAAAAATAAGTCCTTTATAAATTTTTCTCATTTACGTTTAAAGTTATGATTATTTTTTCATTTATGCCAATGCAAAAATTAATAATTTTGTACCAAAAGCACCTTAGGAAACATACCTGACCTTATAATAACAAGTGCAATTTGATTTAGCCTAATCCAACTTAATATATTTTAGATAAGTTTTCAATAATTTAATAATAAATAAATACATTGAAATATGTATTTTTTTCGTTAGATTCAGAATGATTTTTGGGGAAACTACTGCATACAATTAGCGAGACGAGCGTTGCTATTTAAGCCAAAATCGAATAATCAGGGCACTTTAAACCATATATATATAATTACACTCTCTTTAGCATGTGTTTGGTGATTAGCATATTAATGTATATTTCGATATATATTTATTGGCGTACGATTAACCTTGAACTTACACGTTCTACCAGATCTATGAATATTTATATCCAAAAAATATAATTATTCCGTTCACCTCACATTCCACAGTGAACGTAATGGAAGGGACCAGTGAGTTAAATCTTCAGGATTTTCACTACAAGAACACTGAGTATATCGTCCACATACCTCAACAACTTAGCACTTTTAAGATGTTTTTGAGTATTTTGTTCCCAGTATACATGTACAAATTAATACACGAGACAAAGGATTACCCATAGCCATGCCAAATTTCTCTAAGTAGTTTTTCACCCCACACAAATTTAGAATAGGCAATTTAATCAAATCAATAATTTGATTAGTGTTTAACGGAAAGTCATATTCTGGAAGGTCTTAAGCATATCAGTCCTACAGATCATCTAATGGTACTTTAGTAAACAACGCTGTGACATCAACACTAAATTTGAAATCACTAGACATTTTAATGCCTAGAACTCGTTTTTTTTTTAACCTTTCACCACACCTAGAACTCTATTAATAAGATCACTGCACTGGTTTCTGCTAATCAACTCTCTGTACACCTGTCTCCATCTATCCTGGATGACAGTAAATAGTAATCATCTCTCTGCACGTCTTCTATCTCCATCTCTCCTGCATGACAGTAAATGAGTTCTCATCTTACATCATAACACTTTCAATTTTCATAATTCATTATCACTACTATTACCACTAATATTGCCTCTGCCACAGGTGGATGGGTGGTCCTTCTGATACGACTGGAGTACCTGTTGACAGCTGAAGACTACAAAGACAAACTGGAGGCTCACATGAATCGTTTGCAGAAGGAAAACATGTGGTGTAAGGTAATGTTCTCGAGTTCATTTCCTCCGCATTTTATCATAAATGTTTAGTAGTGTAAGGATGTAAGTTCACGTCGAAGTTGAGGGTTAAACGAAGTAGGTAAAAAATGAATGCGCCAAGGTTTATATAGTGTTAATAGCTGTTAATGAGAATAAGTACTACGTATCTGTCGATGCTTAGTCCTGACGGCAGTCGTGAGCGGATGTATCCCTTTGAAGCTTAGTTTTGATACCTGTAGGTAAACTGTTTAACTTACCCCCAACGAAAACCAGAGGTACCATGGGCACACTATAACACAGTAAATGTCTGAGGCTCAAGACTTTTTCAGCAGTCCCCTATCATACATAAGGGAAATTACCAATAGACCCCAGGCCGTCTTCATGAAGAAACTGGACTGACATCTAAAGTCAGTGCCCGATCAGCCAGGTTGTGGTTCGTACGATGGACTGCGTGTAGTCAGAAGTAATATCTTGGTTGATCAAACCTTGATCCACCGGGAGGGCTGGTCAAAGACCGGGCCGCAGGGGCGTTGACCCCCGGAAGAACCTTCAGGTGGATTCCAGGTAGGCAGAGTCTGCCAGCCTCTCTACAGACTAGCAAAGTTATGGTAAACACTTCCTCAGCAGGTTGGTGTCCGGTGTCCTTGATGACACCTGATTTCTGGTCAATAATCAAGCTGAATACTCTAGCGCACTTGGTCGCTGGTTGAAGCTGGGAGTGCAACGAGGATAGATACAAGACATGGTGAGATGACACTGACCAGCTCTAGAGATGAATCACCTCGCTTGCCCTATAACAACACTGCTACCTACTATGTACAATATAATGGACTGCAGTCCATATAAATGAAGAAAGTGAGGGACAAAATTAACGTATGTGCCCCCGGGTCTCCTCCTGTGAGCTCGGTGTTTCGAACGTGTGATGTCTGGCACTCAGCTTAAGGTGTTACTCGTATACATGCTTGTAACACCCACATAATCAGAGTCACCTTCTCTGTGTGTGAGCTCTGGTTTAAGGTCAGAAAGTCCCTGAAAAAAACACTTAAACGAATCTTGGTACTCTTTCATAAATGTCACCGATAGATGCTGTGAGCACATGTCAAATTACAGGCACTGTATTTTAGATACTAAACTCTGTGGTATAATCTGGCTGGTATAGGTAGAATCTTAGCCAAGCTAGCAGCTGTAATGTTCAGGAAGACTTAGAGTTATTGTTAATGCTAGCTAATGCAGTGTTAAATTAAATTAGACAAGCAGCTGAAATATTATATAAGACCTTTAATTTACATGGTAAGCAGTGATCTGGAATTAAATCTTCTGAGAAAATAAAAAAAAATGTTTGCAGCCGAAATTGTAGGTAACAATAAAAGCTTGAATGTTAAGTCACAACAAAATCTTTAATGTTAAATAATACCAGCATCAGGAATATTAGTAATGCAAAATCAGTAATTCGTAAGCTAGGACCAGTTTAAGTAAAACCAACAGGCAGAGTGGCCAGACCTTCATGAAGAACAACAAATTCACACTTATAAAAGTCAGGCAGATTTGCTCCTTTCTAATTATTTTAAGAAGAGTTTTTGCAATTTCTGGTTCATTTCTCGTGATAAAGATGTTTCTGAAGAAATATTCTACTGTAGAGGTGAACTAGGAGTTGTTTCGGACATTATGTGCTAAGGGAACGAGGTTTTTTAAGAACTATCATGCACTAAAGGAAACAGGTGTTGCTTCGGCAGGTGTGTTTATGACTGTCATGTACTAATGGGAAAGGAGATTGGACCGGGAACTATATTGTGATAAAGTGGTAAAAAAGAGCAGTTTTGTACCTACTTTGGTGAAGAAAGAAGATGATAGGTCGACCACGTTGAGATATGGGGAAAAGAGATGGGATGGAAAACCTGCGTCCGAGGTATAACAACCACATAAACAGTCAACATCGTCATTGTTCGGTCGCTTTTATTTGTAATAAAGTAATTGTTGTATGCAAAAATTATGTAATCTTTATTCAGAGCATGTTAACACACTCATATAGGCTGCCTCACTTACCAGCGAACCAGATGCTAAGGGTCTGACTATCGGGGCCCCATCGTCAGATCAGTATCTAGGTTCAGCCAATCGTAAAGTGGATCTGGCAATTGTGAAGGTGACGTGGCTACCACTCACCTTTTCACCCTTGTCATTTTCATTTTACCGCTGGTTGAACCACGGTGGTCTGCTCTTTCTTGGCTGCTGTTTTGTCTTGATTACCGTGGCGTGCACTAATATCTATTGCTGTACATAGTGTATATAGTGTACATCTGCTACACTTGGTGAAGGATAATATAATTCAAAGTTTTTCAGCTGTGTTTATTTTGCTCCCTTTACGCCCAGGATAACAGGCCTTTGAGTACCTGGATTGTTATGTAATCTGAATTCATATTTTTGATGAAAATTTACAGTAATATTGCCTACCTCAAACATTTTCAACTGCCCTTCAGACTCATGAATAATGTAATTCTCAATATATTCTCTGTGGTATCCATACCTCTACATTACTTTCTCAGCCTTAAAAAAAACTATCGATGGAATATTGGTTTTGATATCATTTGAGTATATCCTGTACATTTAGACCAATTTTGAATTTAAAATACGCAATATTCAACAGGAAGTGAGAAAGGTGGTACCAAACTACTGTACTGACCACGAAGGAGTTTTATTTATCTATCGTGTTCTGTAAACAACGAGGGTGAGTATTCCTGCTACAATAAGTGCAGGTTACTGATACAGTCCACAAAATTGTCCTCAGTACTCCACTCTGTATGAGAATAAGAGATATAAAGTATCTTAAATATAGAACACTAATTATCTGAACTCAGAAAATATTCAGAAAAAAAAAACAGAAATGTGTTTATTGAAAAAAAATCTCTTCTGTCCATTCTATCACTAATCAGTAATTATAATGATCATTATACCTTAATATCCAGTTAAGTAATATACAACTACAATTATAAATATTCTCTACATCTGATAAAACGTGAATTAATTATCAGTAAACCTTATAATTTGCATTTGTAGAGATATTTCCATCACTTAAGAAGGTTGGTCACTATTCTGTCAGTAGTGCCTTTATACATGTACATGTCAAACACGTACTTGTTTCCATTACACGTACATACTGCTCAGTTTTTGAAATCAAAATCTAGTGGCTTTTTCCATGATATTTTCTTTGCTAGATGCCCAACTCTCACACATATCTTACTCATCAATTAACAATAGGTATTACAATAGGGTAACTTCTCTTACTGGACAGCATCCCCAAAAAATGTACACGTATATATAGGATAAAATTATATTCATATTGTTTCTTCCTTGTCATCTTCAATCTTCATGAATTAGTATATATAATAATGGGTTATGAATTATATTCAGAAGTTTTATGTTGATTTTTTACTCATCATTGATGAATTTAATATTATTATTATAAATGTTCTGACTGGAATATGTTAAAAGAAAAAAAAAAACTTATATATGCAAGTAAACTGTATAAAGGACATGTAGGTAATTTACATATGTAAGACAATTATAATCACCCAAAAGAACGTATAACTGTAGTTATGTACCTAAATACAAGTACGTACTTACTTATTTTTTGCTAATTACCTAATCCTGTAGTGTTAGTCTAAGTTATAGTAACATCCTGTAAAACTTCCATTCTACCTGGAGAGGGTTTCGGGGGGTCAACGCCCCCTCGGCTCTGTCTGAAACCAGGCCTCGTGGTGGATCAGGGTCTGATCAACAGGCTGTTACTGCTGGCTGCACGTAAATTGACGTAGGAACCACAGTCCGGTTGGTCAGATACTGACTTTAGGTGCCTAGATACTATTCTTAATATTTCTCCAGATAGATCACATGGGCAGGGAGGGTTAAAAATAGAGTTCCATTCAGATTTGGAAGAATGGGCATGGGCATGGCGTCTCAACACTCAAGATTACCACGGTGTCCCGTGGCTTGGCAGGCAACTCTCCCGCCTCACACATTGAGTGTCCGTTCCACCCGGCCGGGTGGAAACTTTAGGTAAATTTCCTTACACCTGCTGTCCCCGTTCACCTAGCAAGCAACCAGGTACCTGGGTGTTAGTCATTTGGTCTGGGTCGCATTTCCTGGAGGACAATATTTAAGGACACCAATGGAATTAAGACAGACAGTCCTCGATAACGCAGAGATGTAAGCCATAGCTCCGTGTCTTCCTTTGCGTATGACATCAGGATTACCATGGCAGTGACCTCCATCGAAGACACCGCGCGACTTTCTTGGGATATCCTCAGCGGCTAACCCTCAGGGGTTAAGAATCCGGAGACAATCTTAGTTATTTTCAGCACTGTATACTACACAAACAGCTAATGAAACAATTGAAAATAAAATAATTAAGAACCTCACAGAAATAGCGTACACAGCTCATTCATATTAGTGGAACCAATGTGTGTGAAGCACAAATAATTGTGACTGATTAAAAAGTGAAGAAATTTAGCATTTAGCAATCCAGTTGAGAGAGCATAATTGTGGAAAAGATTTCTGTATACCTTTGAAGAGTTCCGAGAGTTTCTCTACTCTGTGAGCCCGGCCATAGGCCAGGCTCACAGAAATGTCAGTAGTTTAGTAGCTCCCGTCTTTGTGCAAGGTACATGTGCAATGCAGCAGGTTCTTCCATTGCCGACCTTATCCAAAACTATTACAAATGTATTTGCAGTAAAGTGAAAGTCAACTGATGATGTTGGAACTTTTAAGGTTCCAGGAATATGGGATGATAGACAAAATAAGTTCAGTGTTAAAGGGCAATGGCTCGGAAGAGCGCAGCGCCTGACGGAGATCAAAACCCCAGTATCCGTCTTGTTTTGGTTGCCTCTCGGACATTATAATCACTAGAAAAATGTCAGTTGTCTATCATATTATAAATGTTGTAGTATTATTACTATCAAAAGTAAGCGCTAAGCCCACAGGGGTCAGGCAGTTATAAATCGTGTGAACTACAGACAAACTGGTATGTAAGACGTATGTGAAACACTTGGTGTCTTAATTAACGTCCTGCTTTCGGTATTTTAAACTATAATATGATACGTGTCTTACACTGGTATCTTGGTACAAAAGATGTCTTCAGCAACTCTCTTCCTAACAACTGTTTAACATGACCTACTTTCAATAATGGGCCCAGCCCACCTATGGCCTCATCTCCAAACTATTACACATGTGGCCAACTGCTTATGTTTGACGATAAGAGATTGATCATCTGACATCTAGGATGATGAAGGACAGTTGACATCGAACTACGTATCCACTGCACTGACTTCATCTTCAACCAACATTGACATATCCAAGAGTATGCTTAATTTTTTTTGTTTACTGGTGAAGTCTGCAGCGCAGGCGAAACGTTTCTTCAATAAAGATTTCACGTTTGAAAAAAGATATCAGTAAAGACTCCTTGTGTCGCTGACACATAATAAACGTCTTGTCATTAATGATAAATGATAAACGTCATTTCTGCAAAGTACAATTTAAAGTTGATTCACGAATAGACGACATTTTTGATATATTACAAAAGCCTTTGGTTAAGCAGGACATTTCCGGCAGTCTTCAAATAAATTTATCACATTAACTCTCACTCTCTGGTTTATGATGACATTTTTTTGGATTTAAAAAAAAAGGCAGTGTTTTGGGGATTTTTTTTTTCCAAAAACTTTTGGGGAGATTTTTGGGGGTAAAACAATGTGTTATAACATTTGTAGCAGTTATTATAAATTCAGATACTGATCTACATGTCAATATTACTCCACAGGATAAATAATCTGAAAGACAAGAAAATAAAAAATATATCTTTGCTTTTAATTTTTTATTTGTTGTATCTAAAGGTCTAATACGATTATTAGTATGAATTTAAAAGTGGATACAAGTTAAGGGTAAATTTATTAAAAAAATAAGAAAATATAACTGTCCAGTTTAGCTAGGTTAATGGTACTAGTTTCTTAAATTACAGTTCAAAATATAACTCACGAAATCGTAATGACACGATTGCAAACAAATCATACTATGAGTGGGGTTAGAACCCGCGATCAGAGTCATAGAACTCCAGGCCTATGCTAACCTTCCTATGGTGTATAAATATACCTAGTTAGATGAATCTTATTGTGGCTAGCTGGCCCAGTGGCTAATGCGTCGGGCTGGAGTTTTATGACTCTCTGATCGCGGGTTCTAACCCCGCCCGTGGTATGGTTTGTTTGCACTAGTGTCATTACGATTTCGTGAGTCATATAGACAAAGTACAAAGTACTAAATTATGATAGTGACTTGATTGGTAGCGTCCTCATTTCATACGAGTGAAACGTTGGGTATGTTTCCCTTAGACACTTGTGCAATATTTGGGAGTCTTCATTGAGGAAACGTTTCGCCAGCCAGTCCATCAATCAAGACTGATGGACTGAACTCATCGACTCCAGGCTGGGGACTGATTACCTTAAACGTCTCTTCCTCCACCGTTCTCTGTGTTTTGGACTGAAGAAGCCAGTGGTTGGCGAAATTCTTCCTCAGTAAAGATTCCCAGATGTTGAACAAGTGTCTCAATCTTCAACTTGTCGGTTTTCTAAGCCATTTACATCACGCATGTTTCCTTACACCTACTGTCCCTGTTCATCTAGTAGTAGGTACCTGGGTGCTAGCCACCTTACACCTACTGTCTCTGTTCATCTAGTAGTAGGTACCTGGGTGCTAGCCACCTTACACCTACTGTCTCTGTTCATCTAGTAGTAGTACTGTGTGTTAGACCACCTTACACCAACTATCTCCTGTTCATCTAGCAGATAGTACCGGGGTTGGTCCGTACACCAGCTGACTGTTCTGGTCGTAGATATCTGTGGGACAGTTACCTAAACTAATCTCTGTTTCCTAGGAAAGTGATAACTTCGTTTGTCACAGCCGATATGTTGATGTCGTCGAGGGATTCCTGGGGACATGATTACCATACATTCCACGTATAGATCTGATTAACCATGAACAGTGAAAGCTTCTGATTTTCAACATCCCACGTATGTCAATCAGTTAGAATGTCGATCAAAAATCTATTCAACAGTATGGGGATATCTTGATTGCCATTACATTTCACACAGATGAGATGATTTAAAATTCACATTAAAGATCTGATTCCCTACCATACACAGTTACCTTTGATTCTGAAAATTTACGAAACTAAAATTCAACTCCAACTGAAAGTGATTTATGGGTATTCATCATCGTTACAATATTTACAAGACACACAGAAAGTCATTTGACTAAAAATTAATAACTCTGACAAATTGGGACTTACCCTCACCAACAGCAGTGTGACCCTTTGATTCAGAAAACCATTTACGAAATCGTAAGGAGGCGATTGCAAACAAACCACAGTACGGGTGGGGCTTGAAGACCTGGCCTGGACTTTCATGACACACTTGCCGCTAGTTCAATCCCCATCCGTACCTTTGTCTAAGTCATTCTACAGTCATGACACGGATTCCAACGACTCCAAGTTCCTTCACTATTTTAGTAACCTCAAAAAAAAAAAAATCCATTAACGCAAAAGAAATTTCATGGGTACTGTCCTAGCCCTCAGATGCATCTTCCAATAAATACCGAAGCAGTTATAGGCAAATTAAAATTTACTTAGCGTGATTAAACGACAATAACAGTTACAAATTATTTTTCATAAATTGATGAGCTCTGTACGTACACACTTGACTTACGCTGACTTGGCTGAGCCACTGAGAGTCTTGGGGATCAGTCATCTGTGCAGCATTTGTGAATCTCTGTTGTGGAAACGTTTCACTAACCAGTGGCTTCTTCAGTCTAATACAGAGAAGAACCGGGAAAGATAACGAGTTCGATGTAATCACATCGACTTCAGGCTGAGTGACTGATTACCTCAAAATCTTATCTTCCTCCGTTCTGTGTATTGGACTGGAGAAGCCACTGGCTGGCGAAACGTTTCCTCAATATTCACAAATGTTTTCTAAGCCATTTACATCACGGCTTCGAAGTTATCCGAGCCATTCCAGAATGTTCGGAATGAGTTTCTTAACTTTCGTCACAGCGAACTTAAAAACGCCAAGTGTTCTAAGAATTTGGTCCTCCTTGTTATACACAAGTGTTGAAGGTTTGAAGCTAATTGGCTGACGAATTCTCGAGTTATAAGGGAAATAAAATCGAAAATTTGGAGGCAAAAAGGGCCAAAATAAATCAGGCCTATCAACAACTCGAGGGTCATTAAGTAACCTGCACATCACCAGACCAATATATTTACAATGCGAAATAGAATATAGAAGGAAGCAGTACACAAGCATTTTCAATTATTTTATGTATTAAACCTATTTTTTCGGTTTATGTAAAAAAGTGGTGAATTCAGTGTTCGTTTAGTAATTCAGTAAGTACCGTGAGTAAAGGGCTGTTGGGGACTACTATGTTAAGAGTAACGTCTCACTGGAGTAACATTCCGGGCAAGTGGTGCTTACTCACTTAGGCAATTGCCCGAACGTTAAAGACCCACCGACTATTACTTTTCTTCCTTAGTGTCGATTTGGCAATGTCCTTCTTTCAGGAAGGTTGTTTGATGCCGTTGAAA